ATAAGGAATTTTTTTGGGTTGGGTACAATAAGTTTTACTTTTTAATACTCTCGACATGGATAATTGCTAAGTTTGTTCATAAAGTACCCTTCATACCAAAACAAAGGTTAAATAATAATGAGATATTTATAATTATAAGTAGAGATAATGATTTGAGGCAATTATAAGGTATGGAAAATGCAAATAATAATTTTTAAGTATGTATCTAAAATAGTAAAATGTGCTTGTAAAATTAAAAAAAAAATCTCAATTTTCTATTCACACATAGTAAGTAACCTTTTCTTTTACATACCAAAAGTTGGACGATAAAATTTAAAATTTATGTTGAAAATCAATTTAAAGTAACATGGCCACGTCGTAATCATACTCTCCTTTGCTTTAATTTTGAATGCTATAACTATATTATTCTTTCACGTTGCCTTTTACCCCGAAGTGATCCAGAATTCAAACTCATGTAGCGGGCATCAATAGCATTTAAAATTTGAACTATTGATCGTTCTTTTCTTTCTTCCCTCTTTGAAAATGAAATGCAGCCTGACACCCCCGCATAACGAACTTTAAATTATAATTTTACAATATGCTTTCCCCTACTATATATATATATATATATGTTTGTAATTTAATTTATGGAGAAGTGGAGAGTGAAGAGTGAAGAGGATATACATTATGCAGTGTGCAGCTGGAATCCCTGGACGTGGAAACTGATATTATAGACGTTACGGAAGTGGTTGGGAACGGGTGGGATATTGTCATCACGTGATTGCCACGAAAGAAACTATTAAGAGTTTTATATTTTTGGTTAGTTTGATTTTGGTGGAACAAGAGGCCACAAGTTTTATAGCCACTTCTGCTATCATTGTCGTATCAGGACATTTCTTATAAACTAATGCTTTGCCCAAATATGCTTTCTTTTCTCCCTCTCACTCCTACTACTATGTAACGTAATCATAACCACATTTTTTTTAACATATTCCTTTTTTGTATAATTAACAATGAGATCAAACATTATCTCTCTCACTCTCCCTTTTTTCGGGTACGTTTCAATCCTTACCATTCATCATTCAAGCAGTATAATTTACAAGGTAAGTAGCTTTTACATTCAAAAATTAAAAATTACTTTTATCAATCATGTTATATAATTGTTAAAAAAATATGAATAGAAATTACGATGACATTGATATATATCATTAAATCTTATTTAAAATTAATACTTATATATTATATTTATAATGACATTTTTTATATAATATTAATTTTTAATAATATAGAAAGCGTAAATCAATACCGATGACAATATTGCATTTGAATAAAGATAAATACCAATATAATACATGATAAATGTATTTAGTGGGAGATTTTTTTATACGATTGAAATACATAAAAATGAATCATTAAATCTTACTATAAATAATTACAATTAAAATACACAAATTATATGTTTTCCAAAAAAAGTTATGTGGCTTATATATATATATATATATATATATATATATATAAAAGGAGGATTCAAATAACATCAGTGCAACTTTTACTTACACTACTCAATAACTTTATATTAAATATGAATTTTATAAATTTAATCATTAAATTGAAAAAATTTTACTCTTAGATTATATATACAAAATTTTATATTAATCCAAAATGATTTGATACTTCATTCTTATAAAACAAAATTGACGTAATATATACATTTTAAAATATAATAAAATATGAACATTTTGATTACTTTCAAGTTATTGTTCAATTTTAATAAAATTTGATATAAACATATAAAGTGATATGAACTTTCAATCTAACGGTGAATTTACAAAATTCACATACTTCATAAAAGTTACGTCGGTATCGTTTGAATCTTTATCTTTATATATATATTATAAATAATTATATATTTACTTCTCTCACTTTTATGATAGTTCTTTCATTATATATATATATATATAGAGAGAGAGAGAGGAGGATTCAAACGATACCGGTAACTTTTATTAAGTGTTACACCGCTCAATAACTTTATATTAAATGTGAATTTATATATATATATATATATATATATATATATATATATATTAATATTAGCAGCCCCAATATATAATTTTGTACGCATGCTTTGTAAAACGACAACATTCCTAGACTAAACATTGTATGACATTGTCAAAGTGAAGACTTAAGTGAGATCGGCGGAAAACAGTTAACAGTGTGTTTGACTTGAGAATTATCATTAAATATACATCGCAGAGGGAGCTTATGGACGAGTTCTTTTTCAGTTTTAAATTTAAAACGAGACAATGTGTAGTGATGGCATGTAAATTTAACTAAAAAAATTCTTTTTTTCCAACCATAAGTCTTGATGTCAATAGTCCATTTTAATGTTTGTTGGACTGTCACGATTTTGTCCTTGAAAATGAGTCTCAGTTAGTTAAAGAAATAAAATATTTATAAATTATTCTTAATATCGACTCTTATGTGATATAAAACTTTTAGGTACAAGAGTGACCTAGATTCTCCTTCTAATATTAATCTCTGTTGACATCTTTAGAGTTACCATGTCAGAAATATTGTATGTTTTAACGCTTTTTTGGACTATAATAATTTTATTTTTAGAAAGGTGTCTTGGTGAATTATAGAAGGAAAATATTTATAAACTATTATAAATCTCAACTCGTAAACAATGTAAAAAAATTTAGACATACAAAAAAAATTTATTTTGTAAAATTAACTTTAATGAAAAATAAATTGACAGTGATGGTTTTAGTAGTATTAGATTTGAACCGGTAATTACGAAAAAAAAATTGTTAGAAAAAAAACAACTTACATATAAGTGCCAATATATTTCCTAAAGGAAATTTAAAAACTTGCGAATACTGTTAAATTATATGCGCCAAAAAAAGAAAATTCAAACATCACGCCTCAAATTTTGTTTCGTCGTCATAATTTTTATAAATAAATAAATAAATAAAACATCACACTCCCATCTACACTTTCATTTTCCCCCTTCGCCCAACGTCTTCCTTCTTCCGCAGTTTGTTTAAAAAAAACAAAACAGTTGGTGCCGTACGAGGCTAGTTGTTGCACTGAATTAATTCGTAACTTCCCCCAATTACCTTAAATTAAACTAAAGTTGCTTCCTAGTAGCAAATTTCTAATAACAATAAGATTATTTGATCAATGGAACTCCATATTTTACTTGTACTCTATTTATTAATTGCATTTATTTATTTTATATTTTAAGGTCCATTGGCAAAAATCAAAACCTAAGAGTAATTGTTTCTAATTCTTTATTCTTTATAGCAATCAACCTAAGCAGCTAACGCCAACAATAGCACTAAACAAAAAGGTAAGTCGATTCTTGTTAGGTTTGTAAAACAATAAAACACCAATCAAGTGATTTATTAACATTTAAAAGTAATTAAGTTACCCAGATCACACTGGCGCATCTTTCACATATAGGTCAAATGAAAATGTCTGGTGGAAACTTTATTCACCATATAACTGACCTGTTCGTTGCATTGAATATCAATTTGAAAGATGACCTACTAAGACAAACTATACCAAATATAGATACTTATTTACATAATCAACTCTCGCCAAATACACTTAAGTTAAACCAATTTAGAAATCTTGGGTGCGTAGGTTCAAATGCTATGTGAAACCCTCAGCCCTTTTATGATGTTATATTGGTTTACCTTTGGCACACTTCTTTCTAACGTGATGAAGAGTCCATTACAATTCATTTAGATGAATACATGGTATTCGGGAACGAGATTCTTGCGTTTCATGAAATAACTATATTCAAGGACTAGAAAGTAAAATATGTTTGTGCTTATTATTTTATGAGAGAAAAATATATACACACTCATTGTTGGGTAAAAGAAGGTGGGAATTTTAGTGGAGGAAAAACATTTTAATTCTGGGTAAGATAAATGTTTGGTTTAGAAGGAAAGCAAAGAAGAGGGGCGAAAAAATAAATAAATAATTTAATATTATATGCTTAAAATAGTAACATAAAGTTATAAACCCTAATCTTCAAATTCAAAGAAGAGGCAAAATTGAGTGAAGAGTAATTTTAGACAAATCCCTCCTCTCTCTTTCATTTCCGTTAGTCAAATATCGTAACATAATAACATTTCTTCAATTTATTTTAAATCATAATGGATCATAATTTGATTTCTTTTAATTGAAAGAATCACGAAAAATAAAGATTGAAAAAATCAATTGTCTTGTAATTGGTTTGGAATAAATAGGTTTGCGTGCTTAGGACATAACATATGGTTATACTGTTCAAAGCTTTCAGTCGAGATTTATCTATGAAGTTTAAGCAAAATTCTAGCAAGAATTATACGTGTCCCCCATTCGTATAATATTTGAAATACTTGTCATCTATTTTAACTCCAAGAAATCCCTCTTTGGTTTTGAAGTTGTTATAATCTTGTGTTTCAAATAAAACTTTTCGGTTGACTTCAACACTCAAGGATCATTGGAAAAAAGTTTAGACATACATATCATAGTCATGGGACCCTAGAGATTCTCCTCCACAGAGCATAGTGCTACCACAACAAAGCTAAAACTTCCGAATCCAGTACACCATTATCTATACGTGTAACTGCACCAAACTATTTTATTATGAGCTTCCAAAATACCTAGTATGATTATTGTGACCCTTTCTCGCATTTTGTGAAATGCACAAGTTCACTTGATTGTCACCTTGCCAAGTTAGGTGCAAGATAAGATTGTTACGTGGGATCCATGGCAGGTGGAATGTTCTTTATATTTAGGAGTTCTCCTTTTCATAACCGCAATAATTAAAATTACAATATCACTTTATAATGTCGTAAAGATATTATTACCCACTCTATTTCATTGAGAATCACATATTCAAATTTTCCGTTCTCCTTTGTCATTACCACTCAAACATGGTGAAGGAAACTTCAAAATTCAAACACCTTGCTTTCTGGCTAGATTTTATTTTGCTATTTACTTTTCCGACCACAAAAAAAGGGGTAAAATAATGGTAAATAGATAGCATCTTTTGGACGTGTCGAAAGGATAAAGATATGTCATGAGGACAGCGCCAAATAAAAAATTCAAAATCAAAAACTGGTTTCAGCGATCAGAGGCTGTGCCCCGTCGATTAGGCAGCGCCAAAACCTAGTTAAACACAAATGTCCAAATCAAGGTTTCGAATTTCCAGCCCCAAGCACATTTCTTTTGTTTGAAGTGATGGCGAAAGGTTCACTTCATGGCCCGTTCCACCACCCTCTTGCGTGCAACTTCCACATGATTCGGTTTCAGTACAACACAAAAGCGTTTAACCAGTTATGTGTTCCTTCTTTCCATTCACAAAGTACATGCTTTCCAACCAAACCTCAACAGTTCCAAACACACCCACAACCCTATCTCACCTCGTCACACACACATAATTAAAAACTCCATAAAATTCTCATAAAAAAAATTAAAAAGTAAAGTAAAAATGGTCTTCAATAGAAAAGCCTCCTAATCTAAGTCCTAATCAATAATAACATTATAATGTCTAACAACTAACATTAACACCTACCGCACCCAACCAAGGTTAAAATTTAAAGGAAAAAAAATGTACACACTAACTCAGGCCCCACTGAACCGGGTCCATTGCTCCAACCTAGTCCTTCCCTATTCTCTTTCTCTTTCTTTTTTTTTTTTTTTTTCTAACCGGAAAAAATGCAATAATATCAAAAACCGGGAACCAAAGTTGCCGAACCGGAACCTGAACCGGTGTCCGGTTCAACCACAACCTCCTTCTTCCGCCGCATCTCCAGCACCTTACGGTGGTGGTTCGAGTGCAACTCACTAGAGAAAGTAGGGCTACACGCGGGTCTATATTCGGGTAATAACCGACCCGACTTGTAGCGAACCCCACACGCGTTGCAGAGAGTCTTCGCTCCGAGCGGTCCGGTTCGCCACTGGGGGGTTTTCTGGACGCCGCAGTGGCTGCACCGCCGCGCCGCCTGAGCCGCGCCGCCGTCCGCGGCGGCCCTTTTCTTGGCTCTCTTCTCCTCGCAAATTCGCGAGGGGCTGGAGGGCGAGGAAGAGGAGGAGGAAGAAGAGGAAGAGGTTAAAGTCGATGACGTGTCGGTGAAAGAAGGTGACTTGAGCGGCCAAACGCGAACCCCGGTTCGTGTTCGCTTGCTCCTGGCCTTGGCCGGAACCGGGGTTTTAAAAGCGAAACCGGTATTCCCCGGTTCCGGTGCCCTCTCCGAGAGGCTTTCCGTTACGGTTACCGTGGGGAAGGAAACGGAGTACTCCGCGAAAGAATCTTCAACGAAATGAGACAACCATTCCAAGTCGGCGACGTCCTCGGCCTGTAATAAAAACAGGGACTTTGGTGAAAAAACTTAGGAAAAAATGGAAACTTTGAGGCGAAAATGAAAAGGGGAGTTAGCACTGACCGGAACAGTGAGTTCGCTGTTGAAATGGTCGTTGAAGGAGGGATTGTGATTGTGATTGTTATTGTGAATTTCGTGGTTGTGCCTCTTCGGGGAAACCGAGGTAGAGTCGTGGGTGTGGTTGTCGGGTTCTTCTTTTTCGAGGAGCGAAAAGTCGAGGAGGTCGTCAACGAAGAAGTCGTCGCAAGAAGCGACGACGTTTTGCACGTTTGGCGCCGCCAACTCCTCTAGGAGCGTTTGGGGACTCACTTTCAACGCCGTGTCTTTCCTCAAACTGCTCTTCAACGCTCCTTCCAAACACTCCATTTCCGTTTCCGTTTCCTAAAATCAAACAAACAAACAACAACGGTTTATTATTTTCCCCGAAAACTGAAAACCAGATACTTTGAGTTTCACACAATTTTCTCGGTTTTATATTATTAAAAGCTTTTTTTTGTTTTTTTTAGTGAACCGTTACCTGAGAGAGGAGAAGAGGAGTTAGGGATGATGGTGGTGTGGAAAGTTGAGGGGTGGTGGAAGAAGTGAAGGGATGAAATTGAAAGAGAGGAAGATGTTGAGTTTGGTAAAGCATTGAATGAGGGCTGAAATGTGCCTCTTTCTTACCCCCCAAAAATGAATAAATAAATAAATAAACGTTATATCTCCCTAATTTTACTTTCCGTGCTATATCAGTGTCGCCTATGTTCTTGTCTCAACCCTCTGCATTATGTAATTTGTATTTATACGTAATCAAAATACGTAACAGTAAATGCTCATTAATAATAACCAAATAATATATGAGAGAGAGACTTTAATATATCATACTATGATATTTGAATCATCCTGGTTAATCCTCTAATGCTGCTTTGTGAGGGATCGAAGAGAATTGGAAAGAAAATGTGAAAATTTATTTGGTAAAAAAAATGAAATAAAATTTGTAATTATTTGATAAAATAAAATCAGATAAAAATTAATATTTATAATTACTATTTTATCTTTTCTTTATAATATATTTAATGTTATAATATATGATTGAATCACAAAGACAATTTTGTTATCAACTTTTATGTCTTAAAATTCTTTGCAAATCTTGGCATTACCAAAAGGCAAAAATTTTAGTTTCACAATAATCATTTTGCTTCTTCTCTCCAAAACACATCCTAACTGTATGCAAAAAAAGATGCAGGCGTTTTTTTTTAAAATATTTAATATAACTAGAAATATATTTAGTTATGTTTAATTTTAAAATAATTCTTTATTTTCAAAAGTTGATTAAAAATTAAAATTACTAAATGATTACTTTTAGAAAACAAATTGAATTATCATCCCCTACCAATTCAATCAATCATGTTGGATTTGATTGAATTGAACTCGACTTAACTAAATAATTCGAATTAACTTTCATTGGTTCTGATCAATTTTTGAAGTCAGTGGGTTCTTTCGAGCCCATAAATACCCCACTCATTGACTATTCACTTGTAATGAGTCACTCTGGAAAAAGAATTGGTGGATAAAATTTTTCAATACCAATTTAAATGGAAATTAATATATAGACTAATTTTCAAATTTTAAAAAGAACAAAAATGGTCCCATGTGTTTTAAACTTGCCGATTATTTGGAATAGGAGTGACTTACATCAGAAATTTGAAGAGTGTCCAACGAAATATGTGGTCTCTCATATATAAAAATATAGTTCATTTTATTTTAAGTAGTTAAAAATAAATAAATGTAATAATATATAATTATTAATATGTAATTAATAGTATAGTTATTAAAATATTTAATAATGATTGATTTTACGTCACAAATAATTAATAATGTAATGAGATTGTTGATAATCACAATGTGGTTAACTATGTATGTTTGTAAATATGATTAAATTTATTTTATAAATGATTAAAAATAAATTGACATAATTTATATTACTTTTTATTTTTATTATAAAATTTAAATAAATAATTCATCGAGATTAAAATTTTTTTTAAGATAAATAAATAATCTTGAATTTCTCTTTCTTTTTAAAATTATAAATCAATGAGATATTTAATATATGTTTCTAAATTTTTTATATTTCAAAAAAATGAGACTATTTTTATTTTAATAGACATAAATTAAATGAATTTCACTTACTTGTTGTACTAAAAAATGAATATAATACAAGTTGTTATAAAGAAAAATTAATGATTGAGACATAATAAATTGAGTTTAATACAAAGGACCAAACCAATTTGTTAATTTGAATCCTATAATAAGGACCAAATGTAGTACAATTTTAAACATGTGGTTAATAGTGCTAGGAGATTATCAAAAACAAAAATAGTTACTGTTCTTACCTTAGATCGGGTGTATGGGCGATCTACTGGCAAGATCGGTGAGCCTCCTCTGCTTGGTACGTTAGCTACTCCAGATGGGGTGGGTATCTGCAAAAAAGACTCCAATGCTTAAGTTAGCCCTTGATAGGGTGGATGTCTCGTATATATAATGCACGTACCTCGATGTAAATTAGGATTTTCCTCTTGGGCGAGGATAGGGTTGATCTGGGCCTATGATTGGTCGCAACCTAATGGACTATGGGCCTTTGCATTAGCCGATGTCGAGTAGCGACTGGATACCGAGCTTGGTCTCAGTGTCCAATGTGAATAGTACACTAGCCCGCCGAGCTCCAAGTGCTTTAGGCCGAGGAGTTGATGTCGATGTCGTTTGAGGGTCGTGACTCTTCCTTTCTGCCTCTTGGGCCAAGGGCCAAGTGTTGTATAAGTGTCGCCTCGTTTCTCGAACGAAGGCAGTTGTAATAAAGGGCGACGGCTCGTAATGATGGGACACACCCCGTTATTATCACCCCCTATTTAATGCTCTTATTTTTTTTTGTCATTTTTTGTTGTAGATGTAATGACCCACCCTAGGCCGTCACATCCAGAACCAACCAAAATAAAATAATATATAATAAAGAAAATAGAACAAGGGCCAGCTGGAAATAGAACAACGGCCAGCTATACTAGAGTGTAAATATACAATAACATATAAAATTGTTTCCAAAATATATAACATATTTTTATAATAAAGTCATTATCCTCAGTAAGGTTATACATTAATACAAAAAGGTAATATGTTCCGGTCACGGGGTGCGCTAGGGTTTTTCCTAGGTCAAGCCGCCAAGCCAGAGCATTCAAAAGTGTAATCTGCCCTCTCAACTCTAGGGTTTTGGGTTTTATGGCACGTCGTTCATGGGCCTTTTGGGCCCCGAGAATGAAGGGATTTTCCTAACCGCTCTTATCTTGATGGTGCGGGGTTGAAAGGAACAAGTGTAGTCGGGTTCTGACCGACTAGGTTCATACCGAGGACCCAGTCGGGTTAATGCCGAGTGGTCTCCTCAGTCCTTACAGGTGAGAGGATTCTAAACTGGACTCAAATTACCTAGTCGGATTCCGACCGAAGGGACTCACCTCAAACGCTCTATCGAGTCATCAGCCATGGGGATATTCACGCCGGGCTTGGCATTGAATGCGCCTGGCATGGTCTTGGCAGAGAGTAACCACAACCTATTGTGCCAGCCTTATGATAGATGCGCCCACCGTTATCAGGGCTATGAGGGGGTTGCCTAACTTGCACTCTTCATCCCACATTCACATGAATTTTCTTTTCCTCATACTCCGAAACAAGATTTAACCTATATCTACCCACTCAAGCATGATTCACACAATTACATACAACACATACAATCATAATTCAACTCACACATAGACAATTATCACACACAGTAATACTGAAGTCTAAGAATGCAATTAAAATGGAAAACACGTAAGAAAAATGTTCAGATCTCTAGGTTGCCTCCCAGGAAGCACTTGTTTACTGTCCCGAGCCTAACTAGAAGAGACCTCAAGGATCTCTAAAAAAAAGGATACAACAGAGTCTTTCGACTTCTCCACCCAAGTAGGATTTCAACCGCTATCCATTCACAACCCAACTCCTTTGTGCCTCAGGATCTTCAATTTCTATGGCACCATAGGATTTCACCTCCTTGACTCTGAAGGGGCTAGACCACTTAGATCTTAATTTTCCAGGAAAGAGTTTGAGCCTGGAATTGAACAGTAATACTGACTGGCCTGCCCTGAACTCCCTCTCGAGAATCTTCTTGTCATGATAACTCTTGACTTTCTCCTTGTACAACTTGGATGATTCATAGGCTTGTAGCCTCAATTCATCAAGAGCATCCAGCTCTAACTTCTTCTTCTCACCAGTATTGAGAGGATCGAAATTCAACATCTTCAAAGCCCAATAAGCTTTGTGCTCCAGTTCTACAGGAAGATGGCAAGCTTTCCCATACATCAATTGAAATGGAGTAAGACCAATCAAAGACTTGAAGGCAATTCTATAAGCCCATAGAGCTTTATGAAGCTTTGTAGACCAATCCTTCCTTGAAGATGACACAGTTTTCCCCAAAATCCTCTTGATCTCTCTATTAGAAACCTCGGCTAGACCATTGGTTTGAGGGTGATAGGCGGTGGCAACCTTATGATGGACTCCATAGTGTTCTAGAGCCCTCTCCAACTGAGCATTATAGAAGTGTGAACCTCCATCACTAATAAGTACCCTAGGGGTGCCAAATCTGCTAAAAATGTGCTTCTTGAGGAACTTCACCACTGTTCTGCCATCTTCCTTGGGTGTAGCAATAGCTTCAACCCATTTTGAGACATAGTCTACTGCCACAAGGATGTATTCATTTATGAGAGAAGAAGGCAGTGGTCCAACAAAATCTATGCCCCAACAATTGAACACATCAACTTCCTGCATCTTCTGTAAGGGCATCTCATGCTTCCTAGTGATCCCCCTGGCCCTCTGACAATTGTCACACTACTTGGCATGACTATGGGCGTCTTTGAAGAGTGTGGGCTAGTAAAAGCCAGATTGAAGAACCTTGGCAGCTATTCTCTCTCCGTTGAAGTGCCCTCTATAAGGAGAGTTGTGACAGTGCCACAGAATACTCTTGGCCTCCTCTCTAGAAACACACCTCCTCAATAGGCCGTCTGATCCAATCTTGAACAAGTGAGGGTCATCCCATACATAATAGGTAGCATCACGGAGGAATTTCTTTTTCTAGTGCCATGTGAAACCTTCATGTATGACTCCAGCTACCTTGAAGTTTGCTAGGTTAGCAAACCAAGGCCGCTCCTGCACCATGAGCAATTTTTCATCAGGGAACTCCTCCAAGATCTCCCTCTCCTTCATGGTCACCTCATCATTTACGAGCCTTGACAGGTGGTCAGCAACCAAATTTTCCTTGCCACTCTTATCTCTGATCTCCAAATCAAATTCTTGAAGGAGAAGAATCCATCTGATGAGTCTTGGCTTGGAATCCGGCTTGGTGAGTAAACACGTAATGGTTGCATGATCTGTGAACACAACCACTTTGGAACCAATCAGATAGGATCAAAACTTTTCCAATGCAAACACTATGGCTAGCAACTCTTTTTTAGTAGTGGCATAATTAATGTGTGCCTCATTTAAAACCTTGCTAGCATAGTGAATAACATGAAAAGTTTTAGCCCTCCTTTGGCCTAAGACTGCCCCAACCGCCTAATCACTAGCATCACACATGAGTTCAAAATCAAGTTTCCAATCCGGTGCAGTGATTATGGATGCAGAGGTGAGTCTAGCCTTCAAAGCTTCAA